AGAAGGACGGCGGATACTTTCTCTAATCTCGCTATGGAATTGATCCGATACTTGGCGAGGTTGTAACATAGTTACACTATAGGCTAATGCAAGCTCGTTCGAAGGCCTCTTCGCCCATAACAGTATATTGGCTAGTTAAGCTAAAACACCCTTTAGATCTCGGGGATCTATTCTTTTTGAATTCTACTTTCTAACAGACCCTCCGGTTTTTGCGGAGATTCTCTACATCATTAACAGACATGGGGGTATTGACAAGGGGTCTATTAACGGCGTGGTCAACAAAGCGCTTTTCAGCGTCGGAGACTGATGCACTGGAAGAGCACGAGTTGTACAATGAATGCACGTTATACCTGTGAATTTTTAGGCATGGTGGGTATAATCCGCGCATCCGAAAGAAAATGTGTCCCGTTACACCGTGCGTCCCGGCACGCTTGGATCGACATTATAGTAGGATTTCTTTTCAGAGTAGAGAGATTACCCCTTCTTCACTCAATTCAATACAGCGATTGGATTTCAGTTTTATTCTACCAGCTCGATTGCGGGTTGCCCTTTGATCTTTTGAGCTCGACCTTGTATCGTGCCACAATATATTAATTTTTAAGCATTGAAGTACAAGAGGGTAGATAACAAGAACCACAGCGCTGATCCTCCTCTGATAGTTATATCTCTAATCTTGTAGGGGAATTTTGGTCTGTAGCTGACTTTATCTGCTCCTATATTATCATCACACCTCTTACCAATCGATGTGTCTTCTTGTTTGCGTTATGAACTTTCCTCCCAGGTCTGTTCTCGTCGCTTCATCGATTGTTCCCAAGATATCCCTAACACTACTTTCTAGTGTGTCTGGCGGACCAGAGGCATATCCCCATTGCTCAGCGACGAAACTGCCGGCACGTGTTTGGACCCAGCCAGGGTGCAGTGCAACAGCAACAAGACCTTCTCGTTCAGTTTGCAAGTGCAGAGATCGCGTGATCCAATTGAGTGCAGCCTTGCTGGCACCATAAGCACCCCCAGGCAAAAGCTCGCTCTGCCCGATGCTTCCCACCGACGAAGACATCATTATGAGCTTTGGCTCTGACTTGGACCTCCTCATTAATGGCCATAAAGCCTGAAACACCATCAGGGGAGCGATTGTATTTGTTTCAAAAACAATGCGAAGATCTTCTGCAGTAGTCTCTGCCGCCAATGTCATTCGAGGACAAACCCCAGCATTGTTTATGAGTACGTCAACGTGGTCCAGTGAATTTCCAACGGCGGAATTTACAGCATCTTTGATAGCTATTGGCGATGGAGCGGTGGATAGATCAATGATCGCGATATATAAATGGCTGCCGACGCCGATAGAGATATTGTGAGCTTTCAGGCCTGTCGCAGCTGCTTCACTGCGAACTGTACCAATAACTGTAGTATAAGGACGCACAACGAGTGCTTTAAGGAGGCCTAAGCCTAGACCTCGATTGACTCCAGTAATGACATAAGTTGTGTTGCTATTCATCGTCTTGTCCATTGATATTTTAGGACGGTACGAGGATGTAGAAGGGTTGCAAACAATGATGCGGATAGCTAGTGGTAGATTTAGCGAAATGTTATTGTTTAGGTTGAAGCAAGGAGAACGGTCCATTTTGGAGTTTTTTTCATTCTTATAAGGTAAGCTGATAGATCACATGCTTACTCTAAGTAGCTTTTATTTATAGCGTAAGGTACTACACAATCAAATGATATCGTCAGCAGATGCCTTTCCAAGTACTGCATAGTTACTATATCATTTATTTTACTAGTAAAGTGCCCACTCGGCCTAGCCTACTAGGCTAAAAAATTATTAGTATCCAATCATAACCTAGTATTCTATATCATCGAGATTTTTAGTACATTATCTATAGGTAATAGTAGAAAAAGCAAGAAAAAGCAAATACATCGTTATAGAAAATACAAGACGATTAGTCCAAAGCAATAGGCTGGCGAAAATCCCATGTTCGGATATGACGTAAGCAGGATACCAATACCTTCGCACCTCTGCATCGGAACGACTATAGCAGTTATGGTAATAGAGCAGTAATATATTACTGACATCTACTAGAAGAAGGATCTATGAGAATCCCAAGTTAATAGCTGCTATAGTCGTTCCGATGCAGAGGTGCGAAGGTATTGGTATCCTGCTTACGTCATATCCGAACATGGGATTTTCGCCAGTCTACCTGGTCCGCTGCCCTCGTTTTACCTAGTAACCACAATCCTCCTTAAGTTTGACTATCATTTCTTGTCCTTATTAGGGTGGAACCTTATATTTTTATTATTTATCACGGTATACCTACATTCATGTCTGCACTTATGTCACGAATTATGTATACTTGAATACTTATACGTAAGGTGATTATAACAGTCCCGCTTACGCCTTTGCTTACGGCTTTATTTTCGCGTATGCTTACGTATCTGCTTATTGTTGTATCTAATTTTCTATTCAGCTACTCAATTCGTTGGGTTCTCATCTAAGGTAGCTGCTCGTATCTTGTTGTCAGATTTGATGGGTCTTCAGTCATGGGGTCAAAAACAGGTGTTCATTGTTTCTATCTCCTGAGGTGTCGCCTTTTTGTAGCTTTTTCTTTTCTTTTGTTTCCTTG